GCCATTCTCTAGAGAGTTCCAGCAATCTATTTGGTTTGTCATCCACTTCAATAATTGTATTATTTAAAATTTATATTAATATCTTAAAATTTGATAACATAAATCATAAAATAGTATAATTTTACCTTACCACAAAATATAATATTTTTGTATACTACAAAATACAGTCTTTTGTTCACCACAAAAATATATAATTTTTCACCGTATGATACACACTATAAATTCAACTTTCAAATATTTATTATAATCCTATATAATAAATAATAACAACTCCTAAGATAGTTACTACCAATCACACAACTAAAAAGACTAAACAGTCAAACATGAGTAATAAACAAACTCAAATTAAATTGATTTTAACTAATGGGTCTTAAATTTAATTCTCACCTATAAGCTAAACATAGTCCAATTATATACCAAAATAGACCAACAAATTTATCTCAAGTCATGGTCTAAACATTCAAAATTTACTAACAAAATTCTGCTATAAATTAAACTGAACACCAATCAGTCTGCGAATTTTCATAAAATGAATACTCATCATTTAATTCTGAAATTTTTATCCAACATGCTAGACTCATATGTGAACAACATATAAAAATATTATAATTTTCTGAGATCGAGAACTATTTTTTAAAAATATAAAACCGAACTGTTTTATCACAAAATTTACACAACTCTACAACAAAACTGACTTTTTACGACATCACATCAACGATATACAATAAATGCAAGTTGTAATTTTTCACTTTTACGACTTTCTTTTTTTGCATGTCGTAAATAATATCCTAACCACGACATGTTTATTGTATAGGACGTTAATGCCAATAATGATAGTTTTTTTTACTACTTGCAATGTTAGCTATAAATAATAAAATTTTTTATGACATGCTGTTAATACATCAATTATACACGGCTCACATATATCAACCGTTAAACATATTTTACGGCGCACAATTTATATCGTGAATAATAAGATCCAAATATATATAGAAGTCAAAATAAAATATTATAGCGCCAATTACCAAAAATATATTTAAAAAAATATAGAAAATTGTAACTGTTCACTATGCTTGGTTTCATTTTTCTAAAAACAGTTTTCAAAAAATTATGCTTCCTTATTTTCCGTGTTTTTTTGTTTTTACTAAATTTTTTTAATATTTTAAGAATATTTTTTTATTTTTTAGACATGCCTAACATAATTATACCTAAAAAGTAAAAAAATTGTGAAAAAAACCTTTTAAAAATTTACTAAATACTAAAAATATAAAAAACATGAAATTTATGTATATTTATTATATTTATTATATTTTTATGTATTTATTAATTTTTTAAAATATTTTTTCATAAATTTTTTATTTTTTAAATATATCTAAATAAAATACATTTAAAAATTAAAAAAAATATTTAAAATATTCACTAAAAACAAAAAAAAATATAAAAATACAAAAATTTAATTTTCAAAACAACTTAATAAAAAAAAAAAAACTCAAACCAAAGACACCGGTATTACACTAGAGAGAAAGCTTACAACTTGGATGGTTTGGCCAAATGAGGGCCTCCCCTTTATATAGCCTTATAAGGATTATTCTAGAACCATACTAATGGAGAGTGTTCTAGACACTTCCCCTAGGTAGAGTATTCTAGGACTATTCTAGTATGTACATATCTAGAAGAGTCTACAACTATCTCTAACTATGTACAAGTTTCCACAATGCTCCAGGGAGTTCCAGAAGCTTCCAGGATGCTCTACAAACTCCCAGGGCTTTCTTGTTCCACTATCCTCTTGACTGCTCTAGAGAATTCTAGATTCTTCCATTGGAACCTCCCTTCTTCTAGCCATTCTCTAGAGAGTTCCAGCAATCTCCTTTGGTTTCCAACACTTTCTGGTGAGGGCAGCATTAGGATTTCTCTGTCCGTGACATTCTCCCCCACCTATTACGGCGACGCCCTCGTCGCGCCTTTCTTGCAAAGCCTTCGTTGCCTCCTTGCCATAAGGAGTTGCACTTGCCATTTGTGCTTGATAAGGTGTCTTCGCGCCTTGCTTTTTCTTCCACTTGCGATCCACCTTTCCCCTCGGTGGAAGTCTCTTAGGTCTCGCTCCTCCTTTGCCTTGGAGGTTAGCTTGATAGGTAGGCTCCCCCTTCTTTGAGTCTTCCTTGACTTGCGGTGTGGAGAGAACCTTTTTGGCCGCTTGCCCGCTAATCATCTTTTTGGTAGCGCCATCTACCTCGTTCTTGTCTGCCCCCAACTCAATAGCAGATAGAAGTTGGAGTTTAGTATTTTCCTTGCTCACCATTGGCACCAAGTAAGGCCCACCCTCCATGATGCACATTTTGTTGTCGCGAGGCAACATTGCCACATTGAACTCTCGCAGGAACTCCATCCCTAGCACCACATCATAGTCATCCAGTGATGCTATTGAGAAGTTCAGTTTCCCGCGCCATCCACCAAGGTGTAGCTCGACCCCTCGAGCCATGCCATCCACAGGCTTTGCCTTGGCGTTTACTGTCTTCATTAATGCTTGACCCCTGTCAAGTCTTAGACCAAGCTGCTTGGCCTCTTCCGCCTTGATGAAGTTGTGGGAAGCCCCTGTGTCTACCATGACTTGGGTCGCCTTCCCATTGATCTTGCCCTCTACGTACATCAAGCCCTTATCCCCTTGGGTTGATGCAGTAGGCTTCACTTCTATGGCACCAAGCAGCTGCAGAGAACCCATGCAAGCCTGCTCTTCCCTTTCTTCCCTTTCTTCCCTTTCCAGCATTGCACTAAGATTCTTCCTCTTTGGGCAATCGCGCGCCCAATGTGGCCCATCGCAGATGAAGCAGTTATCCTTGGGCTTGCTTTCTTTCTTCGCCTCTTTCCTCCAATCTTTGCCCGTTGGTGACTTGCTTCTACCTTCTTTGTACCTTGGAGCCTTAGAATTCTCCCATTCTTTGGCCCATGTGGCTCCCCCACCTTTGCCTTGACCCTCCTTGGTGGACTCCAAGTTAGAAGCTTCCGGCTTCGTGTATTCCACCAATGTCTCAGCCACGGTGAGTGCAGTGGAGATATCCTTGACACCTCTTCGTTGTAGTTCTAATTGTGCCCACTGCTTAAGCCCTGCTGTGAAGTTAAAGAGCAAGTCATCATCACTCATGTTAGGGATTTGAAGCATTAACCCAGAGAATTCTTGGACATAATCCCGAATAGAGTGGGTGTGCTTCAACTCCCTCATCCTCACACGTGCTTCATATGCCACATTTTCCGGATAGAATTGCCTCATTAGCTCATTCTTGAATTGTTCCCATGAAGAGATAGTGCAAATGCCTCTTTCCATTTCAGCGTGCTTACGACGCCACCAAACTCCAGCTAACTTAGTGAGGTAGAGAGAAGCAGTGCGTACCTTCGCAAGCTCATCGTTTAAGTTTAAAGCTTCAAAGTACCTCTCTAAGTGCCAAAGGTAGTCATCCAGCTCCTTGGCATCCCGTGTGCCATCAAACTCCTTAGGCTTTGGCGCCTCCAGCCTTGGAGTGAATCCCGCATTAGTGGCAACACCGCTATTAGCCACAGCTCGCTTGCATATGGCCCAATTCGCCCGTGTCTCTTCCAAGCCTTCCTTCAGCTCTTGGACTTGGTCTTGGAGTTGACAAATAAGACATTCCTAACATAAATATACCTAAAAAGTAAAAAAAAAAATTAAAAAAAAAACTTTTTAAAAATTCACTAAATACCAAAAAAATAAAAAAATACGAGAATTCTGTATATTTATTATATTTTTATGTATTTATTAATTTTTTAAAATATTTTTTCATAAATTTTTTATTTTTTAAATATATCTAAATAAAATACATTTAAAAATTAAAAAAAATATTTAAAATATTCACTAAAAACAAAAAAAAATATAAAAATACAAAAATTTAATTTTCAAAACAACTTAATAAAAAAAAAAAAACTCAAACCAAAGACACCGCTCTTATTCAGATAAGAGTGGGAGAAGAGGAAAGGGTTAGAAGGGGAGACTGCCTAGTGTCACGGCCTTGGAATTTCTGAACCAACCCTCAGTCTTTCCAAGCCAACCGTGCGGCCTTAGATGCTTGAAGCACGCCTTGCTTGCACGTAAGTAAGCCTTTTGTGGAAGGGAGCTAGGGGAATTGCACACACACAAGAGAGACTAGAGAATGCTTGGAGAATGTTAGCTTTGTATTACTTTAGAGAAAGCTTACAATACTTGGGTCTTAGTTCTTAGTTACTTGGTTTGGCCAAATGAGGGCCTCCCCTTTATATAGCCTTACAAGGATTATTCTAGAACCATACTAATGGAGAGTGTTCTAGACACTTCCCCTAGGTAGAGTATTCTAGGACTATTCTAGTATGTACATATCTAGAAGAGTCTACAACTATCTCTAACTATGTACAAGTTTCCACAATGCTCCAGGGAGTTCCAGAAGCTTCCAGGATGCTCTACAAACTCCCAGGGCTTTCTTGTTCCACTATCCTCTTGACTGCTCTAGAGAATTCTAGATTCTTCCATTGGAACCTCCCTTCTTCTAGCCATTCTCTAGAGAGTTCCAGCAATCTCCTTTGGTTTCCAACACTTTCTGGTGAGGGCAGCATTAGGATTTCTCTGTCCGTGACACTAGGCAGCGGCGACATTTCGACCTAGAACGATGCTATCTCTTCGGCGGCATGACTGGTTCGAAGGGGAAGGGTTTCGTTCTTCTCTTCTCTTCGCTTTGATCTGGAAAAAAATCTTAGTTCAATTTTTGAGGTATGTTTGGATTCCCCATCCCCCTTCTCTCTCTCTCTCACACACACACACGCACGCGCGCGCGCGCACACACACTCACTCACTCACTCAATTTATCCCTCTTCTCAGTCCTCTTTGTGTAAATTGTAATTGCATCATTCTTTGTATCTCAGTCCCTCTTCTCAGCCCTCTTTGTCCAAATTTGAGGTAATTCGTGATGAATCATAAGGCGATTGAAACCAACGCCTCAACACTTTGAAGCTATTTTCTGAATCTTTGAAGCTATCTAATATCTATCTATGTTTTTCTCGCATAGCCCGAAAGTTGTTCGACATCAATCGGTTTAGGGTAAACAAAAGCTGCGACTCTTATTCTTGAACAGAGCTTCGATTCTTCTTCTTCTTCAACGTAGCTTTGATTCTTCTTCTTCTTCAACATAGCTTCGACTTGCAGCCCTAACAGGTTAGTTTCGACTTTTCTTCTTCTTACTCTCTATTTTTCGATCCTTCTATCTTCTTCGATTCTTCTTTTTGGGTTTGAAATTCGAAGTGTTTATGCGAGCATTCTCGCAGTTTGGCCTTAAAACCCAAAATCAAGTGCGATTTATATACTTGTAATTTGAAAACACTGCTACAAAGTTCGGTTTTCATCATTTATTTATTTATTATTATTGTCATTGTTGAGTTCAAGCATGTGTTGTTAATGAATTTCACTTATCTTTTTGCATTTTTTTAGTTTTATTTTTTAATATAACATTTTGGTATGAATTACTTTTGACAAATTTGGTCAGATTTGTTAAGTTGATCCCAGTCCTCCTGGATGAGTCAGTATTGAAACTGAAGCTAGTGATCTATTCTACCAGTTTCCTCTTTTTATTTTTTGGCTTGCAGGTTACATACACCAGGCTTGGGTTCTTCTCAATGTTTTTTGGTTGGATAGGATCCTTCTCTCTCTCTCTGCCCTATGAATTGCAATTTCTGTGCCTTAATTGATTTTTTCTTGCCAAATGCGTTTTTGGCATTTTTTTTTTTTTTTGGGGGGGGGGGGGATTTGCAATTTCTGTGCCTTAATTGATTTTTTCTTGCCAAATGCGTTTCTGGCATTTTTTTTGTTTTTTTTTGGGGGCGGGGGGTGCGTGTGTGTTGTTGTGATGTCTGCTTTCTCTCATTAGAGTTCAAATCTCATTTTTCTTGTCTGTCAAATGTTCGATAAAATGCATCAATGATGGCCTACTGTGATTTTATTTATTGGGTCCATTTTTTTTTAACTTTTGGATCTTTGAGAATATAATTTAGGAGAATTTTGAATTCAAATACAATTCTTCATGTCTTTTTCCATGCCCAATTATTTACATTGGAGAGTTAGTTTCAATATTTTTTTTTTTCTTTATAAATCCATTAAATTCTTATACAAATTGTTTTTCTAGTTTTGGTTCACTCTTTGCTATTGTGTGTGTATGTGGTCTTTTTTACTGGAAGAGATTATACATGTATTTTGAGTGTCTATGGTAAGAGATTATATATGAATAATATATGTATCACTTTGGAATAATATATGTATCATTTCATTCAGTTCAGTTCGTCTTATATTGATTCATACTGGTTAGGCATCTTCTTTGTATCTTTTTATTTTTGTTTTTGATTTTGTTTTCAGTGTTGTTTGAACAAGAAAATTCTTATAGCACTCATTGTTCTTTGTATTTTTTTTATTCTTATTTTTGTTATAGTGCACCACTAGGATTTGAATAAGAAAATTATTATAGCAGTCATTGTTGCTTCAACTCTCCTTTGTGGAATTTTGCTGTCTCTATTTTGTTTTTGGATCTATAGACACAAAAACTTGAAGAACTCCATTGCAAAAAGCCAACGGAGCCGTGGTATCTTCTTTATAAATAAAATCTCATTCACTATTCCTTCAAGATTTTCTTGAGAAAATATAGCTACCCCTGTGATGCTTCTTGTTCACCTTGTGTGATTTTTTTTTTCTCTTTAAATTTGAATTTGAAGATGCTGTAAATGGAATTTCACTGGGTTCAATTTTGGGTAGATTCAATTCTTTGAGAATGGCTGATAAAAAAGGTTTTGCTGCGTTGATTAACTATCAATTGTTAGTAGCCGCAACAAATAATTTTCAGTAAAACAATGTTTTGGGTGAGGGTGGATTTCGACGCGTGTACAAAGGTTGTTTCAGTGATAGCTTTCTTGCAGCTGTAAAAAGACTCCGTGGCATAAGTCACGATGCTGAAAGAGAATTCGAGATAATTTTGACCAGATATCAAGTTTAAAATCTATATGTTGATTTTGTTTTTCTCGTTTTGACTTATGGATTGTTTTTAATTACCAATTCAAATTGCAAAGTGAGATGGATTGGTTAAGTAAAATTGAGCATCAAAATATTGTTTTGCTATTGGGTTACTGCATTCATGGCGAGGCAAGGTTTCTTGTTTATGAGATAATGCATAATGGGTCTTTGGAATCCTAATTGCACGGTATTTAAAAAATTTTGAAAAAAAAAAAAAATTCACTGTCCACATGAGTATTGCTAATTTTTTTTTTTCTAACTCATTTTTTATTGATATTTTAGGCCCATCTCATGGATCGACTTTAACTTGGCATCTCCGGATGAAAATTGCTCTAGATGTTTCAAGGTATGCCAATCTTCCAATATCTTGTTATTATATTCATCTGTAATTTCAGAAAGTACCAGGTCTATTATGTGATTTTACTTTTGAAAGTAAACCCACTCTTGATTGCTTTGATGAAACTATGTTATCAATAACCTGGCACACACATTATATTGGAGTCCTTTCTGACAGAGGTATACATCTGCATAGGTATGTCTAATAACAATTAGTTTTATTGAGAAAGATTGATCAACTAGAGATGCCCTGGTTCTATTGTTTTGTTTATTTATGAAATTTTGCCCATTTAGTACGTGCTTTCAACTTAATGCAAGTTATAGGGGTCATTATTTTCAAGTATGGCTTTGTCTTATACTTTGATCACTTCTATATAAAGTTATAAACATTGTGCAATGGATTTTCTTTAGATGGAATTTTTTTGTACTTTTGTTCTTTTACAAAACCCAAAGGAAATTAAATTGTTGAAGAAACTTGTGAGGTTGAAAAATTGTTCATTCTTACCTATCAGACCATGTGATCATCATTCAAAACAACATTTTTATTGATTTGAGTCTGAATATTTCATATTTATAAGATATATTTAACATCTAAGTGTGTAGATAAATTTTTCTATGTAATTTAGAAAAGTGATTGAATCTTTACGACTAATGATTCGATTCGCGATTCAATACAAGGCCATTTCGATTCACGATTCGAATCTCGATTTGACAACTATGCTCATAACATTTAATTAAGTCTCAATTTGTAATAAGATTCTCCTTTGTTTGTTGGTGTAATATAAGAACGTCAAGATGTACAACCTTGTTTTGGCACATGAGGTTCATCTCCCATTTGATGATTGCACTTTTAGGCATGAGCCAAAGGCTATTTTAATTATATTATTAAATATAAAACGTTTACTTATTCAGTGATATAGAATCAGTATCTTTGTTTACTTGCATTCTATCTAAATTCATTCTGACAAACAGGTTCATTTTGTGCTTGCACTAACATAAAATGTGTCTAGGTTTATCCTGAAGGAACACATTTGATGATTCCCTGGTTTGAAAGGCTTATCGTTGATGATGTTCGTGCACGTCCCAATCTTGTTGAGAGCTCTTCAGGGAGTCATGATCTCGAAATGGTAAGTTTGTTTTACAGATTTTCTTATATTTATCATGCGCAAAATAAAATGACAACAAAACTTGGTGGTTTATTTTAGCGACTTTTTCCAGATATGGCATACTTGATCTCTTCATAAATTTTTGAGTTTTCGAACTCTTGATTGAACCCTGGATAAAAAAGAATTTCATGCCTCGAAATGGTAGTCAAGGAGGTTAATTTATGGAAGCATTTTGATCTTTCTAAATCCCTTTTGTAGATTCGATTCTTGTTATTCGATCTAGGCCTTATTATTTGCATTAATATTTATTTAGCGTTGCTATATGCTAGGAGGTCGATTGTCTTTTTTTTTTTTTTTGGGTGAATAAGTCATAAAATAAAAGACAAATATATACAAGATACAAGAGGCATGCCTCAGGAGCTAACCAACTATACAAAGACACAGTCACCAACAAAACCAAAAACACGACAGGACAAAACAACCTGTTCAAACACCACATGAGCACAGGAGCAGATGAGGGGCAGGAACAAGATCAACACTGAGCTATACATTAGGATAGACCTAGGAGCTACTGGACCACAAAACAATATCCAAAATATAACTCAAAAACAAGGTCCACTACCATAATTAAGGCCATGTACATTCCACATAGAAAGCCAAAATTAGGTTCTGGGATTACAAAAATTAACCACTAGAGCCTATCACAACTATGCTAATAAATAAAAATTCAGACTGTAAAACAACCACCACAGCCTCCTAGACAGCAGGCAACATCAGATCATTAAGCACCAGCAAAATGGCAAGCAACAGCAGACAGCAAGCTTGGCCTGCCAAAACTCCAAAACAGTAATATAGACAATAGCAGCAGCACCCAGAAGCTCCAACAATCAAAAATTGGGACAAGATCCACCAAAATGGGTTACTTGCTTGTGGACATTATTTAGTCAAATGATCCTAAGAGAGCCAAGCAATCAACAAATCAGTAGGGCAATTCAACAATAGTTAACTGCAAAAGCTCACATGATACTGCTAGCCATCACCAGCTAAAAACAATGACCAGCTAAAAACCTGCATTAACAAACTGCCGTACCCGTATCCTAGTTTTTCAAATTTTGTCGTATCGCCGTATCCGTATCGTATCGTATCCGTATCCCGTATCCGTATCCGTGCTTCCTAGCTCAGCCCACATCCCTTTATATTGGGCCAGCTCACCAAACAGGGAAACCTGCAATTAACACCAAATCAGTATCCACACAAATTATACCAGACCACCACCAGCTAACCTTGACCTGATTTCATGACACAGTTTGGGAGTGGCCACTTCACCAAGAACCAGGCATTTGTCATATCCTCTTTGAACTTGAGATGGACATTATCCTGTTTCTCACAAGGCTTCTAATATTAGCTTGAACAGCCAACTCAGTTGACTTAGTCTTTGAATATCCTGCAATTCCTCTCAATCCAAATACAATAAACAGAACAGGTGAACACAAGTTTAGAGATAGTGGCAGCCAAAGACTTGCCCTTGATATTACTGGTTAACCAATCTACCAAACCTGTCCAATTTGATAGAGGGACATTCATATTGCACATATCCTGCATAACTTTCCAAACCCTGTAGTAGAATGGACAATTAAAAAACAAGTGATTATGATCCTCAGTCCCAGTATCACAGAGACAGCAAGGAGCAGAGTTCCTAGTACCAAATACTACAAGTCCCAAGAGTGTTCAGTCTATTATGAATGGCAACCCAAACCACAGTACTGATTCTACGAATAAGAATCTTAACCCAGGCAACTCTTGAACCATGAATTCTCCACTCATCCCAAGCAGACTTTATAGAGAACTGCCCATCAGAAGATGCAGCCACACCACCTTATCAGCCACTAAGGAAGGCTTCATATCCTTAGTTATAGCAGCCTTAATCTCATCCAACTCCCAAGTTAGACAAACAGGCCAATTCCACCTAGAACCATGAATAACAGTCTCCTCTAGGTCGATTGTCTTTAATTATTCTGGTATTTACTTCTTGCTATTTGTGCTGAATAGGTTAAGATAGCTCTTCTTGGCCAATTTTTTTTGTAATAATGATTAAAATCCCGTTCCTATAGCTCCTATAGACAGTTCACAACTTTCTTCGGATTGTCCATTAAAAACTCAGTAGATCATTTTTTTTCTCCAACTAAATTGTTGATTTGTTGTTTACAGGCTGTTAGTTGGGAAATTCGAAAAATATTGACACAGAGAGCAGCCTCATTCAACATTGCCTTGGACGATGTGTCTAT